GAATTTTCCAGATACCAATGTCTAGTATTGTTTTTGACACCTGAAGATCAGATGTTGTACTTAATTATATGACTGATAGCTTGGAACTTGAGCATCTGAACTCAGAGCAGCTCTACTGATGTTTCTGGCCTGAGGCATGTTACTTAACTTTCCTGAATCCAAAGCTGCACAAAAATTGTCATATTATATTACAATCAGGCTGATCTGTTACTCTGTCACCAGTGCTGATTTTTACATGTCTGAACTATTCTGTCCTCAAGAGGAGTTTATTCTTAATCTCTTCTAATTGAAGGGTGGCTTAAGCTCTGGAATATGTCTTCTCCAAAACCTTACTTTTTAGTATCTGTGTTGTCTTAAATACGTTGTTTTAAAATATCTTCTCAACTGTAAAAGGAAGATAAATATTTTAACCCTCACTCTTTAAAAAATTCTGTGAGGTATTTGGGAAATCAAAATGGTAAGTTGCTTGATGCTTTGGAAAGCCATTTAATGTTCATGAGGTTTTCATGCTATCCTGACAATAAAAGAGTGTTGTGTGCTTCAGGGCATAGTATTAAGGAACTGTAGGCATGCTGAATAAGCGATAAAAATGCTTTTAAAAGGAGGTGGGTGAAGAGAGCAGGTTTTTGCTGATATGACCTCTGCTACTTTTCTACTGCTTATGTTTTCTTTTGGTAGTATCCTTAAAGGCAAATGTTTGTCAGGCGTCAAAAATGAAGATGACATGAACAGGAGCAAATACCCAATTGAAGGTATTGTGCAAGGTCAGGATTAAAGGTCTGAATGTCACACAGCTGGCAAGACATGACTGCATTTTATGTTTTCTGACAAACCTGGCTGTCCAGGCTTCCAAGAAAGGAATAGCCTTGGAGATGGAGTGTGGCAGATCCATGTGGTCTTCAGCTCCTTAGGCAGTTGTGGTTGTTGTGATGTGAAAGGCAATGGGAATGTTGTAATCTGGGTCATTTCCAGTTTTAATCAAAGTTGTTTGCTCCCCCACAGCAAGTAGGAGTCCTGCCAAAGACAGTTTGGTTTGGTGTGCTGAGGCATGGATCAGAAACTGTTTGTCACGCTGTGCTTGCATCCGGTGCTCTGAGCCTCCCTTAGGATGGCCCTCTGCTGCCCAGGAGCTGGATCAGCTGCAGCCACAGTGCAGGAAGGAGTTGGGAGTAGAAGAGTTTAATTAACAGAGGAAATTCACAGCAGGGGAGCGTGGAGAGTTGTTTAATGTCATCTGTAAGCAGAGGAAACTTGTGTGGGGAAACTACTCTCCCTAGGCTTAGTCCTGCAATGCAGTGTCCTAGTTAGGAAATGTGCTTAATTTAGAGTCAGCAGTATTGCAGATCTGAAATATAGCCATTCATAAATGGGTGGCGTGCCATGGGCTGTGTAGCTAAGACCAGCATGCTCTCTGTCTTGTGCAATCAAGCACTTAATGTCTTGTGAATTGCACCCTGGTTCTTCACACACTGAGGCATGTTTGGTAGACCAGCCTCTTGTTCTTAAGGTGTGTATTTGGAGGAGTGATTATTCTTATTCCTACACAGTTATTTGGTTAGTGTAGCAAATTTTGGAAAATAAAATAGCCTTCAGACTTGCCAAGTACTCTCTTTCAGCTGGATCACATTTTTAACTTTGTAAGTATTTGTGAGAAAAACATGCCTCCTGGGGGAAAAAAAAAGTGTATTCAAAACACACAGATAAAGAATTTTGAAAACCTGATTTCTGTGCATCTTATTTTGCCACTGCAGTTCCCTTTCTGTACAGTGTTCTTTAGGGTTATGAGCAGAGATGGTGTTTTGTCCATATCTTTCTAGAGGAGATGTTCAAGTTATGTGATAGAATGAAATCTGAAGTCATTGTTTTTATTTCATTAGAGTTCTTTCAATAATTGTATCATTTAGTGCTGGAAGAAATTTTATTTCATCCTTTGTACGATTTTCTTCTAGAAGGCACAAATGCAGTCTTGTTTGTGAGGCTCTACTTTGGGATAGTTGACTTGTCTTTTTTAGACTCCTTCAAGTATGGACAATGCCCAGTGTTATGTGGTATTTCCCAGTTCAGTGATTAGGAGGGATGGAGAACTGTTCTGTTGTAGTTTGGAACTCCATACTTTAATCCTATCAATCTAGTAATCCCATCAGTCTAGACTTGGCACCACTGTTGAGGAACTGCCGCAATTAGACAGTTGGTGTCTTCCTAGGATATGCAACTTCTTGCACCGTTTATTTTTTTTAACAAGGAAAAGCTATGTCACTGTGTAGACCAAGTGCTTAGAAATGGTGAGAAAACAGGTTCCTGTTTTACTTGCCTTCAGAGGTGACTTCGACAGCTAAGCAAGTAATTCTCCTCCTCAATTTGAAAGTTTCTAAGTGGCCTTTCTGCCATCAGACTAATAAGGACAGTAGAAACATGAGGGATGTTGACTTGCTTTAATCATTTTAAGTAAAAGGAAATGAGACTATTAAAATTCTGAAGTGTAGATGATAGCTGCTTTTCAATCTCTCTGTTCTGCCAGAGCTCTTTAATATAGCATGGAACTGATCTGAAGTTTGAATTCAGATGAGCAAAGATGTGCCCCGAAGCAAATCTGCTGTGCAAAGGGAGAGCATGCTTATGCTTTTCTTCCCCTTTCTACAACTGTGGATTTGTGAATGTCAGGTCATCAATCTATGAATTAAAATAAGTCTAGTTGAGTGTAACGTATGACATATCTGGTAATCAGTTAAGCATCACTTGAAAGCATACATGTGAAAAAGAATGTTGACATAGATTAAAACTTAGTAGAAAATAGTATAATATTCTGGAAAAAATTGTTGATCACCCAAGTAGTGTGGAAATCTAAGTTTTGGTTTTATTAATGAAGTGCAATCAATATGACAGCTATGAAATGTGACCTTGCTGATTTTTCCTTCAGCTTCTGTGTGTATGTTTGTAAGTCTTTCATTCTGTGGTTGCTGTTTAGGTAGTAGTATTTTAATGTCAACTGCTTTCATAAGAGTTACTGTAGTACTTGAAGATAACGTAGCTGTAGCTGTTTCTTATATACAGATTTATAATAGTAATTAATTCAAAGTACTGTTACAAATCTGTCTTAATCTAATTTGATCCGTTTTGAAAATTTGAAGATGTATGTTGAGCATCAGAATATGTCTAAAGCATCTGTTAAATTTCTCATACTGATTCTTAAATCTGTGTGTTGAGAAGACGACTGAGGTGTCAGGTAAAAAAGCCTGTGCTTATTTCTATTTTGCTTTGGACTTCTGTACAGCACATGCAGCAGGCCATCTTTAAAGCTTTCCAGCTGGATCAACTAACCCTCCCTTCCCTCAATTGCTTATAGTTGGGAAACTATAACAAATAGATGATTTAGTAAAGATTGCATGGAAAGGCTGAAAGAACTTGAAGCAAGATCCAGGTCATACAAGCTTGATGTACCCTAATTAAAAGACTATCCTGTGTATCTATTTGGATACCTAAAGATACCCTGATCATTTACAAAATAGTAAATTAATTATTTGTAAATTGGGATTCTGTGTCTTCCATCATTGTTATTATGATTGTTGCAATTGGGTCTCTTTCAACAATTCAGTGAAAGGGAGAAAAAACTCATTCAGTGTTTGTGATGAAAAGATTTTATTTTTCCACTTCAAAGAAGAAGCTGCAGCAGTTTAAGATTACCTAAACTTTGTTTCCGTGTGGGACTCGTATGTAAGTTTTTGGAGGAAGTGAGTGATTTTTACATTGCTGAGTGTCACATCTTGGCATGCAGATTTCATTGAGCTGGAGTCACGCAGTTTATGTGATGTTGATTTACATTGTCTGTCAAAAAGATATTCTAATTTGTTCAATATATTGAGCTGTTTTTTCAGTTTCCATTTATTTCTAATCCACTTCAGTCTGGCTGGAGACCATGTCCTCATTGGTTTATATGTATATTTTTTTCATTTCATTTTGGTATTACTGCCTGTGTTGTCAGCCTAATTTTCTTACTTCTTGTCTTTCTTTTGTCTTTCTTTCATCTGATATTGTAACAGGTGTTACTCCTTTTCCTAAGGAAGTGCAGGAGATGAGCAAAAATTAGTATTTCTTTAATCTATTTGAAAAGTATGCCCATGTGTTTAATCTCATGCTTCTTAGCTTTCATTTTTCAATTTCAAAGAGCTTTGAAGAAACACATAGCAAAACATAGAAAGGAAGATCATAGGAGAAAGGCAGCTCCTGAAAATATTGAGTTTATCTTTGAGCTCATGTTCTGGTTGTTGCTGAAAATGAATCAGATTTCAAATCACTTGCCCACATAATCTCTCCCTTTCTTTGCTGTGGGATGTTGATCTTGTTTGTTGAGGGATGGTGGAGCTGATTAATTCATAAGCTTTTGAATCAGGGCCTGATTTTCTAGTTCTTCTGGTGCATTTCTGAACAAACTGGAAAAAAAAAAAAGGCACCCCATCTATTTATATACATATGGAAAAACCTGCTGTGAATACTGTCAGTGACAGTGTGTTGCTCCTTAAAAAGGTCAGATACCAAAAGTTGAAATGAATGCAAGCAAAATCTGTTTACTGGTGAAATTATGTTTCAGAGTCTGAGAAGTTAGAGGAAAGAAGTCAAGTTAGTAAGACAAATGGAACAGGAGCTGGTACATACATCTAAGAAGACAGGTAACCAAAGTAGATTCTAACAGTCAGACAGACAGACAAGGCAGATTGAAGACATCATTCAGTCTGCATACTTAAAGAAAAAACTCGGAGTTTTCAGTGCATCAGAATTAACTATTGTATTTTTTCTGCGTTCATTTTTTTAACCATTTAAACTGGAACCATTTCCTGCTCAGTGCGTTGTGTTACATTCATTTACAAGTTACTCATTTCCTACTAGTTTTTTAAGCTTTGATAACCATTCAGTGGGTTTGGCTTTTACAGAGTCAGGAAAACAAATGGTTAGCTTGATTTTGTGAGGGGAAAAAAAATAATAGTTTTTTTTTTTTCTAATTTTAGGATCTACTTACAGTGTGCTGTCCATAATGCCTTCTGATTCTGAAAGCAGCAGTTCTCTGAGTAGCATTGGTGAGTAAAGGATTAATTTAAAAACTTGAACAAATCTTTTGGCTGCTGGGATAATGTGGTTTTAAAAGTTGTCTTTTTCAAGGTAGAAGGATACAAGTTGTAACAGAAGAGAAGTTGAACTGTATTATACAGCCATGCATCTTTACAAGGAATAAATATACCCTTTTTGTGTAGTGCAAGCTCACAATTTTTGTAGCTACGTGTAGTTGTTGCCAATAAGAGCTGTTACATGAATTTACGTAACTATGCTGCAAATTACTGTAGTAATGTAAAAATGTCAGTATGTATATGTACACATTTATAGATATATATGTATGTATTTATGTAGATATTAAAATTGTAGTTGGTCTAAAGCATCACAGATATTGAAAGGCTATGAACTTGGCTAATAATATTTCAAAACTTTTGGAAGTGAGTGCAAGCTTTAACTTTTTTTTTTTTTTTTGGCTGAGTGTAATAAGCTGCTTTGTTTTCTGTAATTTTAAAGCCTTGGGGAGAAAAAAAAAAAAGACAAAAGGAAAAGAGAATGTGAACAGCAGCCCTTCAACAGCAAGATGATCTCAGAACAGCCGTGATCACTGTCAGTTTTCCTTTTCTTATAGAAATGCTTTTATTGTGAAATCCATGTAGAAGTAATTTGCTGTGGATAGGGAATGTAGGCTTTCACATACTTAAAGTTCCAATTTTGTGTCAGGCATTTGTAGAGTTCCTTGACAGCATTAGGCAAGTCAGTTGTCTGTTTAAGGATGTGTGTAGACATCTGTTGCAGTCATCAAGATGAGCTTTTAACTCCAACGTGCAGAAACAAGGTTTTAAGGTTGACTGAACATATGGAAAGTTGTGACATGTTAGTCTTATTTTTATCCAATTCAGGATTGTATGCTATTACCTGAAAGAAGGGCAGGATTTGTTTTGTTATGAAGAAATAGGAGCTAAAGGTAGGAGAAATTTTTGGGTAACCAGACTTTCAAAAAGACTTCGAAAGAGTGTGAAATAGAGTAAGTTGATGGAATAATTAGTGGTGCTTGAGATATGAGGGGATGCAGGTGGTTCACTCTGGTCCCATGTTCCTAATTTTAAGAAGGGATGCTTGTTTGTTTTTTTCAGCTTTTATAACTTCCTGAGCGCACATACTTAATTCTTTGTAACTGATATTTTACAATTTTGGAAGTAAAGGCTAACAACTGGCACTTAATGAGATTAGAAACTAGTTTTTGCCATCACAGTGCAAACTTTTGTTTTAACATCTACCACTTAGAGGCCATATATACGTGACTTACATTTTTCTTTTTTCTTTTTTTCTTTTTTTTTTTTTTGTGGAATGGTCTCTTACACAGGTGTGGGATTCCTGTTTCTGAACACTTATTTAGAATTTGGTATTTTGCTTCTGAGACATCCTTTATTCCCATATATCAGTCAGAACTGAACTCTTTTCAAACTGTTTTGTTCACATGATATTGTAAAATATTAAAATTTATACTAAATTCTGTCCTGTATGTTTTCCTTTAAGTTATCCTTAGAAGTGTATTGTGTATGCAGTGATCTAAGTTATTTATAACCTAAAAATAAAATTGCCATTATTTAATAAAATTTATGTTCCATAGTTCCATATATTCTCCATAGTTATTGGTGTGTTTTTTTTTTTTTTTTGTTTTTCCAGATGGTTAAAGTGAATTGAATGTTTAATATTAACTATATTAATAGCCAGGAGAGTTCCTTGTTTGAAACTGACATCTTTACAGTCTGGTTTCAGATTTGTTATTCATGAATTTCTTTTTTTTTTTTCTTCTCCAAATCATTTTCTCTCTCACATATCTTGTTCTGTAAGGTAAAATATTTTAAATGTGATCTAATATCAGCAGCAAATTCTCTTTACTTGATAGCCAGTATATCCTAATAGACGCGTTTGCAAGTCGCTTCAAAGCTGTTGTGAGGTTATTTTGATACTGACTGATTTGTTGAGTGACAAGCCGTTGTAACGGAAGGTGTTTGCATGCTAACTCTCTAAAGGCTTCTTATGACTTATTTGAAGGGAATCCCAACAAAACCTGAGTTTCTTCAGTGTTTCACTATTTAGAAGCATCTTCCTTCCACCATGGATCTCCACCACAACCTGGCTCACTGGAATGCATTTTCAAGGGCTGTGTAGGGCAGTGAAAATAAGTTTCGTTTTGTTTTTTTTTTTCTGTGAAATGAATGTGTCAATGGAAAAAGGTGAATGGCTCATAGTTTGGAGTCAGTGTAAGCTTTGGAATATATTGTGTACAACTATCATTGCCAAACATGCATATAAAGGAATATTTTATTTTCTCCAGTCACATGTATCTTCTTTATGGGACAGAGAAGAACTATATTTTATTTCCTGAGTTCAGAACCCTTACCATTAATACTAAAACACTTCTGTTTCTGATGAGCTTTGCTTCTGTTTGTCAAACAACATGGAAACACATTTTGAGCTTTCAGAGAAAATGAGACGGGAGACTAATTAAGCCCAGTTAAATAAGCTGATAATACATCTTAGTGTCTTCCAACTAGAAGATGTAATAGAAACTTCCGTTCACTGTCTTTATACTCCATTGTTCATAAAGTAACTAGAGAAGAGGATGCCCCTGCGTTTTATCTTTTCTTTCCAATCTTAATCATCCTAGCCATTGTTTCAGGTAGTTTCTACTGCTAGCATTCTTAATTTAATTATCTTTTTCTGAAATAGCTTCAGGATGTTACACAATTGAGGTGATTCTATCAACGGTGCTCTAGCAATTCATGATAGAGAATATTCCAGGTATTTAAATTTGATATGAGCCTGACAAACAATTGAACATGTTCATGGAGGTGAAACCTCTGGCTCAGGTAACTTCCTGAGCTGTCAATTGCTAGATAGTGGCAGACAGTTTGGGACAATTTATTTATTTATTTGTTTGTTAGAAATTGTTTTTAGTAATAGGTGGATTCCTGATAGGAAAGTTTGTTCTGTAAAATTGTTATATTTATTTTATCACTGATGTCATTGTTGTAGAGCGCATTTAAACCATCTTCAAACTGTCCGATAGCTCTACATTTTATGTATATTTAATGGAGTAAATAGCTGGGAATCTCGATCCCCAGAAAGTATGAGCATTTATGATTAATTATACAAATATAACATAAATGAACTGTTATGTTTGTACTTGAACATACTTGATCAGCAGATAGTATTTTGTGTGAGACTGGCAAACTTGATGCTGGAGTACAGAATTATTTTTTTTTTGTCAGTCTGTGAGCTTTGTGATCTGTTGTGGTGCCACAGCCCTTTCTCCATTGTTTTATGAATGCAGGAGTAAATTGTTGCTAACTGATTTTTTTTTTTCTCAATTGGATTTGAAAATGTCATAATAAGGTGAACACATTATTTAAATGCAGTTGCTTAATGTTAACTTAATTCTGTCCATCTCAGATGCTTCCTCATTGAAATGTTTTTTTTGTTGTTGTTGTGTAATACTATTGATTGTTTATATATTTTTAGTGCTTTTTAGCTTGTTATCGATTATTTGTTTGTTTCTTTCAGTCAGAAGAAACAGACTAGCTGTGTCTTGAGAGTTTTGGTAATAAAGGACAACAGATGACTGTAGGAAGGGCATTCAGTTGTGGTGTAATGCAGCACTGCAGATTGTTTTCTCTTGCTCCAGTTTGTGTGTTGGACTCTATTTTTCCTGTTGCATGTTCTGTGTATGTGGGTTTTCAGCAGCCAGGCAGGAACTTGGACCCTCTGTGGTAGGACAAGCCTATGGTAACATTCATCAGAGAAGCAGCAGTTCCTAAAGAAAGATGAGAAAATGACCTCATCCATCCACTGATAACTGAATGAGGAACTGATGTGAAAGAGGAAAAATGTCTGTTGGGGGGGGGAAGGGGGTAAGGCCCTCTATTAGAGAAAAACTTAAAGTATCTAGCTGTTAGCTTCAAGGTGAGAAATATGCATTGTAAAGATACAGCTGTAAATACACAGAGTGACTTATTTAATTTTACCAAATCATTGTCTTGATCAATGAGCTTTTCTGTTACCACAGTAGCCTTGTTGTTATGACCATGAAATGTATATGTCCTATAGGAAATCAGGGGAGTTTTGACAATTGTAAAATTAATCTTGCAAAAGGGTTTTGTCTTATCCCCAGTGACTTTCTAGTTGTCGATTTTGGTTTGTTGTTTTGTTTTGTTTTGTTTTTTTCTTAAATGGTTAATTCTTTTTTTTCCTTTCTTTCTACAGTTAGTCAGAGTCAATAATTAGTCCCTTTGCACTCATTTCCCTACAGTAAGCTAAGGTGCAGAGTGACTTATATAACACTTGATGTTGCTGGGGTTTTCGTGTTTAGAGTTGAAGGAAATAGGATTTTCCTGGCAAGGATGCCATACAGTAGCAATATGATTACATGATTAGGTATTAGGTGAGATTCTTGAAACTGAGCCAGGTTTCCCTTCTTTGACCACAGCAATTGTTTGAATGTTTTATGCACTTTTCACTGTCCAAAAATAGGTAAGCACGGATGTAGATAGGATTTGGCATCAGCTGATGAAATTGCTCTTCTTTCATGTTGCTGGTACATATTCATAATTAATTTTTTCCTCTTAAGTATTCAGCAGTTGTCATAGTTCTGCTAGAAGAGAGCAAGGAATGATGTAACAAGTACAGTGTTACTGATGTGACTTGCAGAATAGGTCAGGACCACTCTGTCCCATGTACTGCCGTGTCATCCACTTTTTTTTGCTTAGATGGGCTTGTAGGGAATGGGACGCAGGAAGAATGAACTTCCTGCCACCTGTGGATTTACTATGTGCATATGGTAGAAGAAGCCACTGAGTAGAAGTTAGGGTGGCAGTCCTGGAGCAGGAACTTTGTAGATGGATCTGTCCTATTTTTTTCTATTGCCTGTGTGTTAATAAAAATACAGAGAAACAGTTGCTTATACTATACAAATTCTTCCTTCTCTATCTTCCTTGCCACTCAAAACTTCTTTAGATGATTG